GTGGACCAAAGCCGCGGAGGACCCGAGCGGGGGGACCGCGGCGTATCTGGGTGGTCCCGCCACCCGGGTCCTCTGCAGCTTTGCTCCATGTCTCCCTGGTCTGCTGGGGGGGGACGCAGCTAGTGCCCCCCCAGAGACGAGGGGGGGGTGGGGGCAAGGCCAGGGGCCTGTGGTAGAGCAGGTGGGGCACTGCCGGTTGGTCCTGTAGCACTGCTCCTTGGTGCTACTGGACCAACCCGGCAGCACCCCAGCTGCTCTGCCCCAGGTGTCCTGATTCAGCCGTTGCTCTGCCCTGGGCTTCCTGGAATCAGCTGCTGATCAGTTTCAGCAGCAGCTGACTTGGGGACGCCTGGGGTTCTTAAGTTGAATCTGTATGTAAGTCGGAACTGGCATCAGCCGCTGCTGAAACTGATCAGTTTCAACAGCGGCTGAATCTGGACACCAGTTCCACTTACATACAGATTCAACTTAAGAACAAACCTACAGTCCCTATCTTGTACGGAACCCTGGGACTGCCTGTACTTTCAAAAACTACTGTGAAGCCAGATAAGCTTTACATCTGTCCAGTTTGCTCAACTTGCTTTTAAATGAAAATAGCAAAACAAGAGATTCGGTTGCTAGAAAAAGCAGACACTTAAGGGTCCCATCTACCTTTCCAGTCCTAGCAGTGCAGTTGGATGACAGCCAGAATTCACTGATTCTTTACTTGTATTTTATGTAAGATGCAACTGTACATAAACTCTTATCTATAAACTACAACAAATGGTCAGGTAGCACTTAACAAAACATGTAGCTGGTGTCATGGGCATAGCCCACTTCTTCAGATAATTGGAGTTTATTTGAAGAAGAAGGCTGTGCCCACGAAAGCTCATGATACCATCTATATGTTTTGTTAGACTTTGAAGTGCCTACCAGACCATTTGTTGTTTTTTTTCCTGTGCAGACTAACTCGGCTACCCGCTGAAGCTATAAACTATAGTTAAGGGATCCTGGTAAAGTTAAGGTTTGGTTATGACATTTAATTTGTTTTTAAAATAACTGTCTTCTTCTATTGGCTTTTTGATTTTCCATTTTATTCCTGTATTGCATAGTAAAACCCATAGCTGACGTCTTTTTCAATATTCTGCTTCATTAACTATAGGAACAATATCAGATACAGAAATCAAGTTGGGAATGTTACTAGAAAATGAAATAGCTCTTCCATAGCCTCATGTGGGGTAGAATGGCAATAATAAGGCTGAGAGGCGCTCTGGTTTCCACACAGATAGAAAATAGGAACGCAAAATCAAAATACAGTAGACTCCTGATAATCGGGCACCTCTGGGACCCAGGGGGTGCTAGATTATCGGATATGCCGGAGTAGGAGGAGGTACTCCGGCCGGGGGCTGAAGGAGGTCTGGCTCAGTGTAATTATATTTGAAGCGTACCCCTACACAATACAGTAGACTTCCGATAATCTGGCACCTTTGGGACCTAGGTGGTGCCGGATTATCGGATATGCTGGAGTATCGGGAGGTACTCTGGTGGGGGACTTTGACAGGTCTGCGGGGATGTGCACTGCATCTGGGGATGGATGGGGGATGGTGTGGTGAGGGATGAACCACCCCTCACCCCCCTGCTCAGTGATAACTACTGCAGTCTCCAGCTGGCTTAAAGCAGGCAGCTGCAAAGGGCTTCCCCCACCTTCCTGCAAAACGGTGGAGGGTTTGCCCCTCGCCACGCTGTTCCCTGCAGACCCCTCCCCACTCCCGCCCCCCAGCTGGACGCAGTGTGGGTCCTGGCTGACCCATCACGGGTATAACCCCTTCCCGTGTCCTCCCCTTCCCCGGCCCCTGAGCATGTATGGGGCTCACAGGAGCTCCAACTGTCCGGCTGGCTGGAGCACTTCCAGATTCCAGTTGGTGCCAGACTAGCAAGAGTGCTGGCCTCCTGGATGTTGGACAATTGGAGTTTTACTGTAATTGCTTTGCTTTCCTTGTCACCAAAATACTCCCCTGCAAAATTGGTTATTCTTTTAATATTTACTGCTCAATAACCAGAAACTAAAGTTAATCACATTTCTTAACTTAGTGTACACATTTAATACACTCTGTTTTTGATGAGAGAGAGATACACTTCAGTGGCTTAATTACTATATTTCCCAGCAAGTGTTGAAGGGAGGGGAAGGGAAGATGTCTGCACAACTAGTAAATGGATGAGACTATATATGTGTAGTATTAACTGTACCAGTATTCTAGATGCAATATAATTTAATTTTATTAAACCCGTGTTTTACTAAGAAATCCTGATTGCTTTTAATGAACCTATTCCTGTGAATAAAAATAAACTTTATGCAATGAACTTTTGTCGTTTTAAATTTTTAGGGTTCCAGGTTGGATGATCAAAGGTGTGCTCCACCATCAACTGCCTCAAAAGGACCAACTGTACCTGATGAAGAGTTTTTCAGCCTTATTTTGAGATCACAGGCCAAGAGAATGGATGAACAGAGAGTCCCTTTACCCTCCCGTATAAACAGACCAAATCCTAACAAAGACTGTTAGAAGGAGAAGCCTTGTTGCATTTGTACTGTAATGTAATAAAGAATCTCTGTTCTTTTTCTGCAGGGAAAACTATAATATGCCTTTAAAGGAAAAGGGGTGGTTGCAGCACCAATGACAGTTGGATATGCAGTTGAAAATATGTGTAAATAGCTTATCGTTTTAAAAATAATGCTAAGACAGTGACTGTGCTACCCTCCTGTGATTGTTCTGCAAAAGGTGCAGTTGCTAGAACTACTACAGATTAACTCTGTGTCAGAGCTAAATGCATCAGAGTACCATCTTAACTGTCTAAAGTGGATAACATTGTAATCAGTAAAAAGTAGAATTTAAGGTACTCTGCTTCATTGCTATAAACTTGTAGTTTTAAATCAGTTTAAAAATTCAGTTATAGAACTATGAATTTTTGTGTCTTAAAAAAAACCTTGATTTTAACTATTTTGTATGTTTATCTTTCTTAGGAAGACTAGTTAGTCCCCTGGACTCTTTCATACCAGTTTTTTTAAAACCCAGAAACTGAGGAATAAATTACCTCTCAGACTGCTCAATTGTGCCTGTAATCTACTGAAAACCTAACTGGGATTGGGAAAAGTTGTTCTCTGTCGAACGCAGGTCAGTAAAAGTCTACAGAATTCAGATACCAGAAAGGTCATTTCAACTAGCTAGTTTAGAGTACAAACTGCACCCTATCTCAAACAGCAAAAGTCTGGCTTACAGCTTGAACTGAACAAATCACATGCTGACTATTTTTTCTTTAAAAAGTAGCTATTTATTTAAATTAAGCTTTTGCTTTACAACCAAGCTAGGCTTACTTTGAAATACACAGAGTTGCTTAGTTCTCCATCACAAGACTTTTGTAAGGAGGCCCATAGGAGTAGTGAGGATCTCCCTACCCCTCCACCTCCGCAAAAAAATGGAAGGATGAGAAGGCCTCAGGAATCTAAATGGCAAACCCAGGTAGTGGCTCTCAACAACAGGCACTGATTAATTTCTGCACTTGCACCTGCAATGGGGTTCCATTGCACCAGGAAGCTAAAACCAAGGCATTAAGGTTTCTGAGAGGTCTTAAGTAGTAGTCTGCTGACTTTGTTCCTGCAATGAGAAGGTTGAAATGTTTATCAATCAGCACGTGGATGCCACAATTAAATATATTCAACTCTCCCTCCCTAAGAGGATGTAATTACTCCATTGAATGACCACCACTGTAATACAGGGAACCCATAGATACCCTAATGTCAGGAGTATTGTTTTTCAAAATAGAAATTGACATATGGGGTAGATTAGAGAGCGGCTTATTGCTTCTAACAAACAGCCACTGCCTGATGCTTCATAAATGCAAAACCACCACCAAATCCCACCTCGACAGCTAAAATACTAACCTGCCAGTCACAACAATTGGGATTATGCCCGAAACAGTTTCTAATCCTGTCTAAACTGCTGATGTTCATGGATGTAATCCTTTTGCCTCCTTTCTGCAACTCGCTGTCGTTAGGTTATATATCACAGACCCCATACCCTGTTTATCACTGACAGTTTTATTGTCTCTCTCTCTCAATATATATATAAAAATTTTCCTGCCAGACAACAAAATGATGCAATCAGTGTTGTCAGCGCTCACATTCCAGCTACTAGGGAAGAGTTGCAGCGGGATGGGGCAGCCAGCCCTGAACCATGGCATGGTTTTCCCTGGTAGTCGCAGCTGACAACCTGGCTCCAAACAGACTGAAGCAGCCTAAGCTGGCTCCACTTGTGCCCCAGCTGGGTCACAGACACCCCTAGCCTGCACCCCCATCCCATCCTTGCCCCCTCCTATATCCCACCTCCTACCCAGATCCTGCACCCCTATCACTATCCCACTCAACGGAATCCCTTGTTTTAGGCCCCCCCAGGCTCTGGGGTGGGGCTAACAAAAGCCATGAACCCTAGAACCCCAGAAGCGTTTCAGGGCTGAGGCCTTGAACCTCAGTCATCCTTGCCCACAGGCCCCCCTCTCCCATCACCATGGGGCTGGAGTACCAGGGGACTGAGGTGTTTCAGTTGGGGACCACATCAGTGAGGGTTGGGGGGGCTTTTTTCCCCAACTGATTTTTTAGGGAGCCAGTGGCCCTGATCCTAAAAAGGCTCCCCACCCCTATCATATATAAGGACAATGTTGAAACCTTTTGTGTTAGAAATATTTTATTTTAAATAAGCCTGGTCAACTAAATTCCAATCTGGGCCCAGCTCCCATTTGGTCAAGTGACCTGTTGCCAGCCCTGATCCTGTGGCAGGCCCCATAGTCCAGCCCCCATCTAACTGCAGGAGGCAACCTTCTCCCCTCCCCCTCTGCTGCACCACAAGTAGAGGGGGAAGGCCATGAGCTGGCTGTGGCAGACAGAGGGGGGGTTGCCAAGCATAGAAAGCAGGGGCACAGCCCCCTCGTGTCCTCTAAATATTACAACGAGGGTCACAGTTCTAGCTTCTGGCCTCAAAGAGCTTTTTTTTATTGTAAGTAAACAAACTACACATTTTTAGCAAAAGTCTGTATAACAATTTCAATCGTTAATCTCCCTGTCTAGTATATTGTGTCTGGCCATCTTTTAATTCTATTTCTAAATGAATTTACTACCAGTGATACAGAATTCTAGAGGATGTACAACTTTTTTGTTTAGGGCATTGTACTGCACATTTTTTTTTTTAAACTTGGCTACATAATTGGCTAATTACACTCAATGACAGTTTGATTTGCTCAAATCATGCCAGTTTTGTCTGTTTTGCCTGAGCTTGATAAATTCCATACGCATGGATGGCACAAATATTTTGTGGTAGCTGCAGATTTTCACTGACTGTTACCCCCTTCACATGTTAAATGCAAATAGTAGAGAATTTTGCTGCACCCCACATAGCATTTCATCATGTTGCAAATTAGCCTTATCAAATTATAGACAGTTTCTGTCTACTTGACCTCTCCTCCCATGACAGTTTTCCTTGTAACCTCCTGTAAACAACTTTTATCAAATGTTTTCTGAAAGTCAAAATAAATTATATCAATAGAAACGCACATCCATCGATATCTGCAGGTATCCACAGATGCAGGTATCCACAGTTCATTTTTGTGAGTACAACGTGGAGGAGTTTAACACATTTAAATCACCAGTTTTAATCTTGATTGCATTTATATTTAATTATTTCCCAGGGATTAAAACAGATGAGAATCGATCTACATACTGTCCAGAATTTATTCTCTCAACATCTGTAGTGGAACTGAATGACCAGATAAATATTTTTCAGATGACCAGAAAACTGTTCTAAAAAAAGGAATTAGTTAAATGGCACCATTTTCATATGAAAACTATAAAAATCTGCACAGTTAATGGTGAAAACAAAATTATTGTAAGATTAGCTTAAATAGCTATTAAAATGTACAATATTTAACATACAATGGATGCTACCACCGGAGGCTCTTCTCTTGGTGGATCTGGAATATCATTTGCCAGCAAAACATCAGCATTTCTGTTGCTATTTTGAAGTTTCATGTGATCATCTCCTCTGTCATAAGGTCTTATTCTGAGGGGACTGGCATCTGAATCAACTGCACTGTAATTTATTTGTTCCTGTTGCTGCCTATCACTTGGAAGAAATGAAGGAGATGATTCCTGCCAGGGTGGATAAAAATTGATTAAAAATGTTTTTTCTAATTTAAATCAGTTTTATTTTTAAATCAAAATACAGGCTGGACCTCTCTGGTCTGGCACACTCGGGACTTAACTGGTCCTGAACAAAGGAATTTGCCAGACCAGAGGAGGTCTGACTTGTATTTCTGCTGCCCAGACCACCTTCCCTCCCTGCTTCCAGCCCCAGCTGCCTCCCCATTGCTGTGCTGCTGCAGTCCTGGCAGCCCAGACTGCCCCAGCCCCACTATCGTGGCTGCTGCGTGACTGGCCCCGGCCCAGCTGACATGACTGCCACCTCCCCTACCCTGCTTCTAGGGGTGACATGGCACCTACTGTGCTACTGGGGCTCTGGCACCAGGCCCAGCCCCAGCCTCACCAGGCTCCAAGCTGCCAGCCGTCTTGCCACTGGGACTCCCAGCCAGGACTCCCAGGTTCAGGAACACTAGCTTTCCTGCCAGACCACAGATCTTGCCAGATGAGGGAGTCCTGGTTTTGGGAGGTCCAATCTGTACTACATTTCTCATTTAAAAACAGTTACAATTAAATCTCATCACAAACCTGCTATACATGGTATCAGCACAAAGTGGGCCATTGTCTTCTCCAACAGGCCCTGAACTGCTGGGTGTCACATACAGCATTTCCTGGCTTAGGTTATGAGAAAACCAAGTTCTCAAGTGCTTACTCATGTCCATTCCAGTTAGGTGTGCGCATGCTGCATGCACGGATCCTGGAGCTTTTTTCCCTTAGCAGTACCCGTTGGGCCAGCCAAGGAGCCCCCTAGAGTAGTGCAGCTATATCCATGCTGGCCCTCCACCCCTTTAGTTCCTTTTTACTGCCCATGAGAGTAGCTGGAATGGTTGACTACACTGTTGGTCTAACCGTAGCCTTTTGTATGTAGTGTTAGTTGAAGTTTTTATAGTGTAAATAGTTATTGTTAGTAGTTAGTTCTGAGGGGAGCAAAATTCCCATTTGAAGCTTATCTTAATGGAGTCCACTCTTCAGCCAGACTCGGTGCCAGCAGTGCGAAGTGCACCAGCCTTATAGCAGGAGCCAGCTGCAGCACCAAAACATACCCCGGCACAAAGTAAGTCTTTGGCTCAGACACACCAATCCCAGTCTCCAGCTCCAAGAAAGAAGAGACAGCATAGGAGATGGTCCCGTCATAGATGCAGCCACAAAGTGTGGAAGTGCAACTTGATCACGGCATTGTATCATTATGCTCCCGTACCGGCTAGACACCGGGTGACCCGTGCCAGATGTGGTGATAGAAGAGGTCCAGCAACCAATGACCCCTAAGACCTTCAACGCTGCCTGAGAGATCATTGAGCTTCTGTCATCATCAGGCCTGGATCAAGAGGTCAGCACTGGTTGCCTGAGCCTGCACTGGAGTTAGACCCAGCCATCAGTGCCGCGCCATCTAGTGCAGCCCCAGACTGTAATACCAGCACTGGTAATGTCAACGGCACCGCTGCTGACAGCGGCATGGGCTCTGCCGTCACCAGCACCGACAACAGTGCCAGCACCGCCACCAACAACAATGCTGGCACCAGCACTGGCTCCGAGGGATTCCATCTCTGCCAGGCCATCCACCTCCGCGGTACCGCCATACCATCCCATCCCGGCCACATTAGCACACATGGCACCTCCGGTACCGTACCCACAGATGCTATGGCTGGCAGATAATTAGCACAGTTGATGTTCCCACTGGCACCAGTCCACTGGGGAAAACTAAATTCGATGGCCCGGCATACACATCCGCGCCATTCACCTGTGTCATCGGCACCGCTGTGGTCTGCTTTGGCCTATTCACCCAACTCAGAGGCTGAGTTGGCTAGTTCCTAGGCCTCATATAGATTGAGATCGCAGCATGAATCCCGTTCTTAGCACTGCAGCCTGATAGTGCCAGCCTCAGAGCCCGCTCAGTCCTCTTATAAGGAGACTGTGAGGCCTCCAGTGAAGGGGAATGGTAACCTGCCTCACACTCTACCATGGTTGCACCCTCACAGCAGATGAAGGAACATGGCAATCAACATCTGATCAGGGAGTCTTCCTTCTTGTCACCGGACGAGGCGTTGGCTGACCCTGCACCCCCCTTGTCCACAATGGATGCCAGGGCACACCAAGAACTTCTCTGAAGGCTTGTGGCTAATTTTAGATGTGCAAGTGGAGGAGGTCCCAGAGGAATTGGACCCAATGGTAGATATTTTGACAGCAGATGTCCCAGCCAGAGTAGCTTTGCCACAGAATAAGACAGTGGCTAGGATTTAAAAAATCCTTTGGCAAACACCCGCCTCCATTCCACCCATCCAAAAAGGGGTGGAAAGGCACCACTTTGTTCCTTAGGCAGGACATGAACATCTCTTTGCCCTTCCGGCCCCAGGTTCCTTAGTGGTCCAAGCTGCTGGTCAGAAGAGACATGGCCTGCCCAGACCTACGCCAAAGGACAAGGACCCCAAAAAACTGGACCTGCTAGGCAAAAAGGTCTATGACTCTGCAATGCAGAGCAAATATCCCTATAATATATGGTCCACCATGGATAAGTTTAAAAACCTCCTTCTGCAGAAGTGGATATAAGCTGGCTATTAGGAAGTATATAAGCTGGCTATTGGACACAGACTGGCTAACCTTGTGAGGAGGGCTTTAAACTAGGTTTGTCGGGGGCAGGTGAGCAAAGCCCACAGGTAAGTGCTGAATGTGCAGGACTGGGAGATGTGTTGGAAATGGGGGGGACTACGGCCTATAATGGCAAGGAGAAAGGAGGGTCAGGGCACAACAGGGAGGCAAGATCAAATCAGTATCTTAGATGCCTATATACAAATGCGAGAAGTATGGGTAATAAGCAGGAAGAACTGGAATTGCTAACCAATAAATACAACTATGATATCATTGGTATTACAGAAACCTGGTGGGATGGGACACATGATTGGAATGTTGGTATGGAAGGGTACGGCTTGCTCAGGAAGGACAGACAGGGAAAAAAGGGAGGAGGGGTTGCCTTGTATATTAAAAATGTACACACTTGGACTGAAGTGGAGATGAACGTAGGAGATAGCTGTGTAGAGAGTCTCTGGGTTAAGCTAAAAGGGGTAAAAAACGAAGGTGATATCATGCTAGGAGTCTACTACAGGCCACCTAGCCAGGTGGAAGAGGTGGATGAGGCCTTTTTTAAACAATTAACAAAACTATCCAAAGCCCAAGATTTGGTGGTGATGGGGGACTTCAACTATCCAATGGCTGTCGTGATGAGGCAGAGTGCATGGCTACAGGTGTCTGGCATTCTGCTTGAAGTCCAAAACACCTTACAAGATCTCCCGTTTGAAGGGTCACGTTTTTTCTTGGACCAAACAGACTTTAGGCTGCATAGCTTTAAAGACTCCAGGACCACCCTGAAATCTCTCAGTATCCATACCCCAGCATTCCAGGGGAGGCCACTGAACCCTAGACCAGCCCCGATACCCTTCCAGCAAGGATTCAGGCCTGAGGGAGAAGGGGTAGCAACAACAGTAATAACAATGGCAAAAACAGGCGCAGGGGGTCAAGGTCTGACTCCGACTGGAGGTCTGCTCTGCCTCCTAATCAGCAGCCCAAGTCCTCATTTTGAAGTTACGCCCGAAGACAGTGTCCCAGTCTCCATGATAATATCTTCTTTTGGGTGCCGGCTCTTCCATTTCTACCTGGCCTGCTCCCAGGTTACCTAGGACCATTGGGTACTTGGCCTGGTGGAAAGTGGATTTGCTATCCCCCTTCCTCTCTTTACCTCCTTCCCATTCCCCTTCCCATCCCTCTTCAGGGACCCCTCACACAAGCGTCTGTTAAGACAAGAATTGTCTTCACTAGTGCATCTGGAGGCAGTCGAACCTGTTCCAGAGGAGTTCAAGGGGAAAGGGTTCTATTCCCAGTATTTCCTCATCCCAAAGGAGGTCTTCAACCCATCCTAGATCTAAAGGACCTGAATTCGTTTATAAAGAAAGCAAGGTTCAGGATGGTTACCCTAGCTTCTATCATCCCTTCCCTAGAAAGAGGAGACTGGCACATTGCCTTCGATTTGAAGGATATGTACTTCCACATCTCAGTGATCCTGGCTCACAGATTTCTGAGGTTCACAGTAGTCTTGGATCGCTTTCAGTTTGCAGTCCTCCCATTCGACTTTTCTATGGTGTCGAGGGTCTTCACCAAATGCATGATGGTCGTAGCAGACTTTTTGAGAAGTCGCAGGGTCCAAGTATTCCTTTACCTGGCTGATCAGGGATTCATCCATGGAATAGGTAACGCATCACGTAGACCCTGTCAGGACTCTGTTCCACAGACTGGGTTTCCTCATATCCACATTTAATCCTACTCAGGTAATAGACTTTGTTGGGGCCCCTTGAAAGTAGGAATAAGAGATCCTCCGGAAAAGGGCTTATTTTTCGGAGAATCACGTCTAGACTGGGGCTCTTCTCCGGCTTATCCCCAAGCTGGAAAAAAGCGGCAGCCATGTAAATGCAAATGCTGCGGGGGATATTTAAATCCCCCGCGGATTTTGCTATTCCGATGTGTCTAATCTGCATCCCTTTTCCGGAAAGGGGTGCCAATGTAGACCCAGCCAAGGTGTTCTCTGTGCTGACAGACATGACTGCAATGTATTATATCAACAAACAGGGTGGAGCTTGTTCCTCTCCCCTGTGCGAGGAAGCCCTATGCCTCTGGGTCCTGTGCAATGCACATGTTATCCACTTGGAGGCCGCATACTTTCCGGGAATCATCTCACCGCAGCTTTAACAACAACAAGGCCTCTCCACTTCATCCCTGCAGGTTTACTTAGTAGCTATTGTAACATTCCACCTAGGGGAAGGGGGCAGGATGGTATTTGCAAATGTGATGGTTAAGTGATTCCTCAAGGGGTGGACAGGCTGTACCCCTATGTTCACCAGCCCTTACTCCCCTGGGACCTTAACTTAGTTCTTACACGACTTATGAGCCCACCATCTGAACCCTTAGCCACTTGCTTGTTGAAACTTCTGTGGTGGAAAGTGGCCTTCTTAGTGGCTAATCACATCAGTTAGAACGGTCTCAGAGCTGAGGGCACTCATGTCTGAACTCCCGTATATAGTCTTCACCTCCACCCTACGTTTCTCCCTAAGGTGGTCTCCCAATTCTACGTGTCCCAGGATATTTATCAGTTTTCTTCCTGAAACCTCACTCAATGCCTAAAGAGTGGTCTTTACACTCTTTGGATATTAGGAGGGCCTTAGCCTTCTACATAGATCGGACAAGAGAGTTTCGTAGGTCTTCACAACTCCTTATTTCCTTAGCCAAAAGGTTTATAAAGGGCCTCCCACAAGGACACAAGCCTTGTTGATGGCATTTGTTGCGCAGGTGCCTATTCTTGAGAGCAGCAGAGCAGCCAAGTGATCCTCTGTACGTATGTTCACAGCTCATTATGCTATTATGCAGCAGACCAGGGACGAGGCGGCCTTTGGTAGGCCTGTGCTGCATTCCATTGCAGATTAGTCTCCGACCTCACCTCCTGTCATACAGCTAGGGAATCACCTAACTGGAATGGACATGATGAAGCACTCGAAGAAGAAAAAATAGTTAGTTACTTTGTAACTGTTGTCCTTTGAGATGTGTTGCTAAAGTCCATTCCAAATCCCACCCACCTCCCCTTCGTCGGACTACAGCAAGAAGGAACTAAGGGTGTATATGCACTGATATAGCGGCACCACTCCAAAGAGCTCGCTGGCTGGACCAACAGATACAGCTAAGGGGAAAAAAGCTCCGGGATCCATGCATGCGGCGTGCATACACCTAACTAGAATGGACATGAGCAACACATCTCAAAGAACAACAGTTTCTAGGAAAGTAACTATTATTTTTATTTTGAAATTCTAGTTGAAATATCCTGGAATTTTAATTTTCAGGTGTCTGTATTTAAGCTCTAGCTTTAAATCAAAAGTTTAATTTGGGAGGAGGACCAAAAGAGCATTTTACTTATGCTTAGTTTGTATTAATTCACAGCAAAGTCTTGTAGTTTAACACACAGCATTAGGGTTATTATCCTTAACACGGGCAGAAAATGGAGCACATCCAAATCCGTAATGGTAACGCATGCCCTATAAAAACAGAGGGTCAGTACTCCCAGATATTAGGTGCCTGCTTCAGGGAGCCTAAATGTGACAAAGGAGTATTTGGCTCAAAATGAGCTTACATCAACCATACAGGGTGGCTTAGGAGCATTATATTTTTTTAATTGGTAAATGTCAATCATCAATTTTCCTACAAAATGATGAAAAAGTATTTCCATCAATAACTGAAATTTTAAACAAAAGAAAGATACCACTTGATAATCCGTGAAGCTGTTTATCTTGAATATTTTGACACATGATGTTGACTGTTTTAATGGCTTTAAAACTAACTTTTTAAAACTCAAGGTCTGTCATTCAATAATTATCTCACTCCCCTTCTCCATTTAATTTCTCATAGGTGTGAAAATTTAAACTGATAAAAATTAAGAGTTTAAAAATCTGACGTTATAATAAAAATAATCAAATTGTGCCAAGCCTACATCTAGTTCAATAGTTGTAACTAAAAATAAGAGCACAAAGGAATAGCAAAAGCATACCCACAAGAATCAAAGTTTTGACAAAACTTACAGTAGAGTCCAGAGATTCTTTAATTTCCGGTGTGCGTTCTATTAATCCATGTAGAGTGCCCTTTTCTTTCTTTTCAAGATCTCCTGTTGTATGAGCTGAGTTTTGATTTGTTCTCTCCTTTTTTGAGTTACAATTTTCTTTAGTTTCACAATTCTTATCAGATACTTGTACAACTGGTGCAATCTCTCCACCATGGCTTTGATCTGCTCTGGCTTTTACGTTACAGGTAGTTTGTTCTTGAGACATTGGGTGCAATCTATACTATAAGAGAGAGAGCCTGTGTTATTCAGACAACTAATTGGGTACATTATTTAAGTGATTTAATCTGACCAGGCAGCCTAACACTTGTGAATAGTATACACTGGGCTAAGTTATCAGAATGGGAAGCAGGGTTGCTAAAAGCTATGAAGAATTTCATAATTTCTTGTTTTGGAGAGGGTTAATAATGTCTCTGATTTCAGGAACCATTCATGAAATGAACGAGTTTCATTTACAATGCACATTAAATAACCTGCAAGTTACACATTTGTCTAAGTTTCAGTTCCTTTAGTTGGCAATCCTCATTCATAGACTGACTTGGGAGTAAACCAGAAATCACAAATGAAGAGTTATTTAGATCTATAGATACTGAAATCTTGCATTTAAAAAACCTAACTACTTTAGCTCACTATAATTATAGGAAGCTAATACTCCATAGTGTTCACTCTTTCAGAAAGCTACATATCAATCAACATACCACCCTTGCTTCCAGGAATTTATTCTCTCAACATCTGCAGAGGAACTGAATTAAGCTGTTTTTTCAGATGACCAGATAACTACTCTAGTGAGAGAAAACTTAGTTAAATTGCGCCATCTTTTTCAATATGAAAAATACTTTAAAATGATCTGTACAGTTAATAGTGAAAACTAAATTATTCTAGGCTTAACCTGAGTAGCTTATTAAAACGCACAATTGTTCACATACATTTTATACTACCTTGTGATGCTTTTCTCTTTGTCCATCTGGTATATCATCTGCTGGCAGAACTTTATTGCTGTTGCCAATTTGAAGTCTCATGTGATCATCTCCTCTGTCATAAGGTCCTCCAGCGAGGGGACGAACGTTTTTTCTGTAATTAGCATCTGAATCACCTGTACTATAATTTATTTGTTCCCGTTGCTGACTGTCATTTGGAGGAAGCGAAGGAGATGGTTTCCTCTCAGGGTATGCTAAATGCCTTAATGTAGCAACTGATCTTCCTGCACCATAGCAAAAACCCTAAAGAAAAGACAATGTCTCCTTAAATATTCACTTTTACAACTTGCATTTTCTTTCTTTTGAGTTATTTTTACATCTCCACACAATAGTATGTCAAGGAAAAATTTCAGTACAAGATTTACAATTTTCTCAAGAGTAATTTCCTGAGGGAGGAAAGCTCCTAAGTTGACAGTGTTTTTTTTAAAGTAAACAATTTCATTACTTTGAAACAGAGTTTAGGAGCAAACTTAAATTAATATAGCTGAACAAACTTCCCTATTTTTGTTACAACCCCTAGAATAACTGTAAATGAAGGATCAGTGAAAAAAATATTTTCAGGCTTTTACTGTCCTATTTTTTAAAGTCAATGGGATTTCACAGTGTGCTGCTCTCTACTCGTCAGTCGGTGTGGGTATGACCTGATTAGTGTCAAGGTTCTCCTATGCTTCCTGCTAATTCTAACTCAGTCCTCTCAAGTACTAAGTGCCACTTTCTGCAGAGGTTCTATTATGTGCTCCAGCCAGAGCTGGTATGACACTTAAACCCATTTATCATGCATGCAGGCTGGAATTCTGACCTTTTTACTTGTAATAATTTTCTGCTTATAGAAGTTAAGAAATTTTTCTTTGCATTTTTATAGTTCACATATCTTTACTATGGCAAAAAATTCACGTCAGAAAAACAACAAATACCTGAAAAAATAAAACACATACAAGAAATAAAAATCTTTAAAGTTCTATTCTCAGTGTTCAGATCTATATACACTACTGCGTCTAAAATTTTATCAGTGGAGTTTTTTGTTTGTTTTTAGTACAGGTGGCGGAACCACTTTGGTCTAGCACCCTGGGACCAGAGCAGTCCTGAACTACAGAGTTTTCCTGATCATGAGAGGTCCACCCTGCTCCCTGCTGCAGGCCCACTGCACGGATTTTAGAAGTGCTACCTGTAATTTTGTATGTCATGGGTACCTGCCATATTTAGTGAGGCCTAAAATAAAATGATCAAGAACATATACTAACCAGAACAGCCAGAGCTATGATGATTAACACCGGAATCTGTAGTAGCATTGGTATCTCCATCATAAGGGCTTTAATAAATTCACCAATTCCTTTCCCTATAAGTTTTAATGGGTCTGTTACAAAATTGGTAAATGTAACAGCCAACGCCTAAAATAAGAAATAACAACAAGACATGAGGATTATTATTCTTTAGTTTTCAAATACAAAATGGAAGGGTAAACGGTTTATTTCGGAAAAGTCACATACGGTTGTTGGGGGAACTAGCCAAATGGGATTTACTAGTATTGTTTCATAATACTTCTGACAAGGATCATCCTGGAACGTCCATGAACGTCTCACCCATTCTACAGTTAAAAGAATGTAAAAATTATACAAATACATAAAAAGTGACAAATGTATATTATAATGATATAATTAAGCATTAGGTGACAATTGTATTTTATACCCCGTAGTCCAAAATTTTACATGCCTGGTTTCATCTCAAAAAGTTAATTGCATTTTTAAAAATGTCATCAATCCAGATGGAAATTAAAGTTATCAAAGCACAGAGGAGGGCTGGTAAAAACTGTTACTCACCTTTGTAATTGTTGTTCTTCTAGATGTGTTGCTCACAGAATCATAGAATACTAGGACTGGAAGGGACCCTGAGAGGTCACTGAGTCCAGTCCCCTGCCCTCATGGCAGGACCAAGTATTCATGGGTATTCCGACTGAGGTGCGCGCACCATGAGCATGACTCAGAAAGCTTTTATCCTAGCTGCTACCTGATGGGTTGGCTGTGGAGCCCCCTGGAGTGGCACCAGTGTAGAGCACTATATATGACCCTGCTGATGCAAACACACCTCAGTTCCCTCTTGCCAGCTATTCCGACAGTGGGGAAGCACGGTGGCTATGGAATGGATACGAGCAACACATCTCAAAGGACAATGGTTACAAAGCAGGGATGTTAAGGACTTGTCAACTAGTCAACTATATGATAAGCAAATGCTTATCGGATAGTCAATTGACTAGTCAATACCCCTCCCCCCCTTACTGCCTCTATCAGACAGAGGCAACAAAGGGGTATGAGAGGAGGGGTACTTCAAAGCAGCAGCATTTCAAAGTGGAAGAACCACACAGCTGAGCCTGGCATCAGCTGTGTGGCACTACTGTGTGTGGAGCCCTGAGTCAGCTAGGGACTCCCGGGCTCCAGCGCAGCATTTCCACGGAACCCAGGCTCAGCTGGGGAATCCCCAGCTGAGCCTGGGTTCTGCGGAAATGTTGCACAGAAACCGCGGTCAGCTGGGGACTCTGGCTCCGCATGGCATTTAAAATCGGCAGCGCAGCATGAAGCCCAGGCCAGACCCCGAGCTCCATGCTGAGCTGACACTTAGAAATACACAAGAGCCCATGCTGGGGACTCTTGTACATTTCAAAGCTGACATGGTGCATGCAGCCCGGAGTTCCACATTCCTCCTTTGAAACGTACAAGAGTCCCAGCAGGTGATGGCAACTAGAAAAACCACCCTCCAGTAAAGGTAAAGTAATGAACAAGTTGCTAAAGGCTCAAAGTGGGGGACCTTTGAGTACTAAGAGGACCAGGTTGAGATCCTAAGCAGGGTCCAGGCACCATACCAGCAGGTGGAGCCTATCCATACCCTAAAGCAGTGGTTCCCAACCAATGGTCCTGGATCCCTGGTGGCCCATGACGGTACTGCAGGGGGTCCCTGGAAGGGTGGTTCGTGAAATTTTAATAGATTTAAAAGGGATCCGTATGCTCGAAAAGGTTGGGAACCACTGCCGTAAAGAAAGTGCCTGACCAGAGGGCTCATGAAAACAGAGCAACTGGCTACTTCTGGATGAAAAGGACGCTAATTTTTCACATCGCAATCAAACTATCACACAGACAGTATCAACAGATCCTGGTAAGACATTTACACTCCCAACAGCTGTCACTGGTGATGAGAAGGAACTGAGGTGTGTGGTTGGGTTGGCAGGGTCATATGTAGTGTGCCACACTGGCACCACTCCAGCGGGGCACTACAACCAACCCAAGAGGTAGCAGCTACAGAAAAAACTTCTTGGCAGTCATGCACATAGCACACACGTATCTCAATTAGAATATATATGAACAAACACTTGGAGAAGGGAACATTCTTAACATTAAATCTTTCTTTTAGACGTTAACACTTTACATTGAATAATCCTGAAAGAGGAAAAAAGGTCTGCAATTTTCGCCTGGTCAAAGCAATGATGAAATATCTGGTATATTTTGCACACTGTCACTGGAGTCTGGGGCATACAATCTTATTTATTGCATATCTGTGATGAACTGAGCTTTGTGAATAGTGCTTTAAAATATATTTGTAGTTTTGTAATTGTTAGCAGTCTGGCTTTGTTTTCAGACAGTTACTGGTTAAGACTGATTGTGGAGGAATGTAAGTGCACATAGTCCTGTGAATCTGCCCTGGGTTCTGCGGAGGTCTGTCCCCCTAAGTCTGGGCAGAAACATGCTGGAACCATGTTACAGAAATTTTACCACACACAGGTTGCCATTTTGTCCTCTGCTCACGTGATCTCACACACACTGTGCATAAGAGACCAGGCTAGCACAGATGTTTAAGTAGTAATGGAAATGAACAGTATTGGGATATTTGGTCAGATGCCAAAGGAGTCCTTGGGGTAAAGTTTGAGAACCACTGCCTTTAAGTATTTCCAGAATCGGTTGTTTTGATTACTTTGGGGAATAGCGCAACTAGCCACTATCAACTTTATTAAAACTGGTTATCAAAAATCCCTAAGAGACACTTACTAAATATGGAGCCACTCTCATCCTCCTGAGTGGGGTGAGCTGCTGTGAACATGTAATATTAATACCAGTGTCTATGGGCTTGTCTACATTGCATTGCAGTACAGACCTAAGTGAGAACTGCAGTGTGCACCAAAGTAACTGTCCCAAGCACACGCTGCTGATACGAACTAAAAGGTAACTAGTTTGCGTTAATGCAATTCTGTTTGAAAGAGGACTACATTAACACAAACCTTTTACTCTGCATCTGCCTTTTACTCCATAAAGTAGTTGGATTTGTGCTGCAAAAATATCTAGTTAAAGTCTGAAATAAGGAACATTTTTGTATGATTTTATATGAATACATGGCCTGCAGTAACTCACCAATACAAATGAATAAATCACTGGAAGATAGAAGAGTGGAATTCAAGTCAAGAGGATTTTCCTTTCCTTAGTTTTAAGATACTGCATACTGAACTGTACAGGACAACTGTGGAATATTCATAGGCTAGAGAGAGAGATTTCAGATATAGATTCTAGTAGTCAGTACAATGAGAAGTTTAAACCCAGGAGGAGGTGCCATACCATAAATTAGCTTTTGTGATAACCTTGCATTTAATAATTTTAGAGACCAAATACAATAGCATGCTAATTATATGTTACATAAAGCAGTGTTTGGCTTACTCAATTGTATGATGAGAATTTTCAATTCATGATAAGTTTTAAAAAATTATTAAAAAAGCTTCTGTCACTTCTTGGGTGACACCAGCCCTGGCTCATTTTTACTGTTTGCCAGTTTTCTTTAGATAAAAAGTATTAGAAAGAAACAACTACAAACACCTTACCAAAGAGACTATCCTTCCAATCAAGCTTCTCAGCACATACTGTGTCATGATCTCCCATTCTGGCCACAGCAGCTTGATTCTGTGCAAAAGCTTTCTGCAACAGAATCAGAATTAACCTTTGTAAAAGCTGTTTACATGGAATAAAAGACTACTAGTTTAACTTTCTGTCATCAACCAATAAGCAGTCTACGAATTAAGCTTTGTAAAAGCTGTTTACGTGGAATAAAAGACTACTAGTTTAGCTTTCTGTCATCAACCAATAAGCAGTCTAAAATGTATTAGAGATAAAAATCTGCAAAAGCAAACCACCACAGCAAATCAAATGCAGTCAAAGCGTATAATCTCTGAATAGGGGAGAGAACAATTATTTTTAGCTAGCCAAAAGGTTCTGACTGCTTCTTTCACAATAAGGAAGCGTCAACTCTAACAATTTCTGGAACTGAGCCAACAATTCACCACACATCATTATTTTTGAGTTTTAGATATTAACACTGATCACAGAATTATAGTAAGAAAACTGGGGAAAAAAACCCTCACAAGCTACTACATAAAGCAGGGGTAGGGAACCTAAGGCCCTGGGGCCAAATGCAGCCTCCAGCTTGCCTGGATTTGGCCCCTGAGGTTCGGCCTCCCCTCCCCATCTCCCTATGGGGCTGGAGCACATAAAATCTACTAGCCTGCTTCCCCACCCCCCCAGGTTCTGATGTGAAAGGGGAATGTGGGGAGTGTTTTCTCCTTCTTAGTCAGGGGCTACCCTCAGTGAGGGTTTGGTGGTTTTTTTGGTGTGTTGTTTTTGTGCTTCTCACTTGGGTGTGGCCCCAGACACAAAAAAGGTTCCTCATCCCAGCATAAAACAATGGTTTATCACACTAGGATTGCAACACCAAGGCTGGTTAAAGCATTTTGGAGTTTCTGATGTGTTCTGCATAATATAAAAGTTTCCAATAAAATAATTTCTAGCTCCTCTGGCAGCAAAGAGATCCTTCTCACTGTAAATAATTTTAAAGGTGTACACACTGAATGCAAGTTCCTATTTGTGATGTAACAAATTTTACAAAAATATTTTGTATTACAATAGTGAGAGGTTGGTTAAGATAACACAAAGGACTCAGATAATAGTATCACAGAAGGAAAGTACATTGAAGAAGGAAAAAAAAAGCACGTCTACATCTGACTACACATGATAAAACAAGTTATAAATTTTTTAAGCTCCCAATTGTATCCAACATGCTATATTGTTCTAGCTGAAAGATCTGTCAATGCATGCAGCATTCAGTAGGCCTACTTAAGTAAGATACATCCTAATTAAGACAGTTATTTATCACCACAGACTGCCTCAGTGGATGGTTTCTCCCTCACCACAAGTGAGATGGCCTTCCACTCTTCCAAGAGCGGAACTCTCCCCAGGTAGACCTGTTTGCAACCAAGCAGAATGTGAAGTGCCCCAGGTTCTGTTCCAGACTCAGTCTGGAGAAAGTTCCCTCGCAGACGCCTTCCTTCTTCCTTGGAAGGAGGGCCTCATGTATGAGCTTCCTGCATTTCCTCTGATTATCAAGGTCCTACAGAAGATCAGACAGGACACAGCACAAGTAAAACTCATTGCACCATGTGGCCACACCAGCACTGGTATAACAGTCTTGTCCTCCGCTGATCCACTCATATTGTCATCCCAGGACTGCGGTTGCCTCCTGCACTCAGACCTGCTACCATTCCACCTCACAGTATGGTTGCTCCATGGCTGAGCCCAGAGCAGCAAGCTCTCTCTTTAGAAGTGAGGCATGTGTTCTTGGAAAGTAGGAAGCCATCTACTAGATCCACCTTCTTTGCAAAATGGACTCTGCTTTTGGTCTGGGCTGCTCAGAAAGGGATCAGTACTGCTGGAATGCCACTGAAATCTTCTGCATCTGAAGCATGAAGTCTGGCATTGGCTTCCATCAGGGTGAACCTGGCAGCAATTTCAGCCTTTCAACTGCCGATCCAAGGTCACTTGGTGTTTTCCCATGACATCACAATCAGATTTTTAAAAGGTCTTGAGAGGCTCTTTCTGCAGATCCCAACCACACTTCCTCAGTGGTCCTCTCCAGGCTGACAGGGCCTCCCTTTGGGCCACTGGCTTCCTGCTCACTTTCACTTCCTTCAAGGTAGCCTTTTTGGTGGCAATCACCTCAGTCAGGAAGGTGTCTGAACTCTGTGCTCTTATGTCAGAACCCCTTTATACAGTCTTTTTCAGGGATAAGATACAGTTTAGATCTCATCCCACCTTCCTGCTCAAGGCGTCTGCGCCTTTCACATGGGCCAGGATATCTTCATGCTGGTCTTCTATCTCAAGCCCCATAAGACCAGTGAAGACAGACACCTACATGCCTTGGATGTTAGGTGGCCACAGAGGATTCCTAAATGGATCACCTTCTGTATCAGGATGTGCTATGAACTGGTGAGGGTTCATTCTACCAGAACACAAGCCTCTTCATCCCACACTCCTATTTAGGATATTTGCAAATAGGACGTGGTCCACTGTGCACATGTTTACATCCCATTATGCAGCAGACCAGAGATGACACTGGGTTCCGCAGAGCTGTGTTGTTTTCAGCATGGAATTAAACTCATACCTGCCTCTGCAGATTCAGCTTCGAATCATTTACATTGAATGGACGTGAACAAGCACTTAAAGACAGCTACCTGTGTCCATAACTGGTGTTCTTTGAGATATGATATTCATGTCCATTCAACATCCTGCCCTCCTCCTCCTCTGTCAGAGTTTCTAGCAAGAAGGAACTGAAAGAGGAAGGGTCCTGGCAGCACTCTATATAGCACGGCATGTGCACACCTCTCCAGGGGGCACTGTAGCCAGTCACCAACGGACACTGTGGAGGGAAAAATCTTCTGCCACTGTTTGCAAGTGGGTGCTTGCCACATTTTTCATGTGGAATGGACATGAGCAACACGTCTCAAAGAACACCAGTTATGGAAACAGGTAACTGTCTTTTTAATAGGTCAACTTACATGGACAGTTTATTTTCTTAATACTCTTCAGTTCAAAGAGCTTAATTGCCTTATTTAACTTTAGATTGGTGCAAAGAATTTTACTAGACATTGATTTAAAAACGGATATGCCCCTTGGGACAGTTGCCTGATATGCTGAGACGCCACTGGGTTTATTAATAAACAAAAAGTGATTTTACTAAGTATAAAAGGTAGGATTTAAGTGATCATAAGAGACAGCACACAGAACAAAGTAAGTTACTAAATCAAGATAGAACATGCAAACTAAGTTGAATATGCTACAGAAACTAATTACTCTGACTTCCATGCCAATTTTTGCAGTCTTACAACCACATTTTCCAATACAAAAAAATGTTCTCCCCTTATTGATGTGTAAAAGACAGCCAAAGTAAATCCCACAAAAATCGACTCTGGGAAACAGCAAATCTGACTATGCATAATGGGAACAAACTAGACAATAGGAGAATTTCCTTCTCCCTCAAATCTCTATATTCATCTACTATATATTTGAGAGAGTTTGTCTGTGAGCAAGCATGTCTGTCTATTCATCTGCTTGTTTGTTCCAGAAACTCCTCTAAAATGGTAAGAGCTGAGACCACCAAATTTGGCATGCAGCTTCCTCTTATAACTTAAAGCAAGGTAAGGGCTTGGTTGTGCTAGGACAATGGGATGTGCCTGAAATGCAAATGTTTTTTATAACACGGAAAGAGGGGAATGCTATCAAGGACAGTTATACTGTGTAACGACCACAGGAGAGTAACAAGGGGTCAGATATGGGAACCGGGACAACTATAACCCCATTCAGTCAGCAGGGGCAAACAGTGGAAGTAAGCTTCTTGCCCCATACCCAGCCAGCACAGTCCCTGGCATGGCCAGCCCCAGGGAGCTGCCACTAGGGATATAAGGAGTTATCTGGTAAGCATTATCCATATCAGATTAACAGTCAACCTGGTTGGAATGGAGCAATGCCCCCTGTCTCTGCGGCATAGCAAGCCCAACCCATCCTGAGCAGCCATAGTAAGGCCCAGTGCACCATGGGCGTAAGACTACTCGGCTGCAGTGCCTCCCTGCCCACAGGATCCTGGTTAAATATAACATTTAGCTGGTTAACTTTTTAAATGGGATTTTACAACCCTAACCACCGCCCTGCCAGTGTGGCCCCCACCAGTTCCTGAACCCTGCACACACCCAGTCTCCTGCCCTGAGCCCCTCCTCACCCCCAAACCCTGACTCCTGCACCCCACACACTCACCCAGCCCCCTTGCCCTGAGCTTCTTTTCACCCTCCACTGCCACAGAACTCTGCCCTGATCCCCCACATGCAAGGCCAATTCAATCTTTTAATAATAAATGTTGAGGCAATTTGTAATAGTAGGTAAAAATCTTTTGAATAAGTGTAATTTTTAAATCAGTGCAGTGCCTGTAAAATGCCAAAGCACATCAAAGATCTGTTCATTTTGTTTTAAATTGACCAGCGATAAGCTAAACTCTCAATTTCAAATTAAAGACCAAAGCCTCATCTGGGAAAAGCCAAATTAAATGTGCTTTTTGTGAGGGACTTTTAGGGAGAAGCTGAAGAAATAACAAGATTGTTTCCCTAACACAACCCAAGGTACTATCTATTGTTCTATAACATTATTGAAGCTCTGGTCTTTAGTAGCAACTGCTGTACAGAACATACCCATTATATAGGGTTTTATCAATATAGCACACTGATCAGTTAGCCATTTCCTAAACCCCTGCCACCCTGGTGCTTAAGAGAGTCCCATATAGTCTTCTAACCCTTTGGAGTGGAATTATGATCGTTTTGAATTCTGTGCTCCATTGCAGAAAGGGGAAACAGGAATTTTATTCTAAAACTTGCAATCTGAAGTCTTCATTGAAGTATTCACTCTGGCAATCAATAACATAACAAAAATAATCTCCAAACTCTACAGATTATCATATCTTAAATGTTTATTCTTAAACCAAACTAGGATTTCTGATTAATTTACCTTGTATAAGTAGATCCAGTTCCATCCAAAACTGATGAGAAAACTGATGAATAAAATACGTTTTACTTGAGTAACCCAGCCAATATGTGTCCATAGCTCAGTAGCTACAATTACTGTAATGCACACCAAACACAAGAGTACCTGAAAAGGAATTAAGAAGGGAAAGTCATGAACCAGATTTGCAATTTTTCAAGCCTATTTCCAGTAGAAGAGAGTTACAAACTTCTCTCTTTTTCAGGTTCATTTACCTAACTAGTTTCAAAACTGAGCTTGATAAGTTTATGTTGGGGATGGCACAAGGGGATTGGCTTAGCCATTTCGCAATTGCTAGCAGCAAATATCTTTAACAGCTACTGGTGGGATGCTATATGGGGGAGGACTTTGAGGTACTACAGAGAATTCTTTCCCAGTTATCTGGCTGGTGGGTCTTGTCCAAATGCTCAGGGTATAACTTCAATACCAAATCATAATATTTGGGGTCAGGAAGGAATTTTCCCCCAGGTCACACTGGTAAAGACCTTAGGGAGTTTTTGCCTTACTCTGCAACTTGGGGCACAAGTCACTTTTGTGGGCTAGCATGAACAGCAGATTCTAGATTCTCTGTAACCTGAAGTCTTTAAATTATGATTGGAGGATTTCAGTAACCCAGCCAAAGGTTTTGATCTATTATAAGAATGGGTAGGTGAGATTTTATGGCCTGCAATATGCAGGAGATCAGATTAGATAACCGTGGTCTCTTTTGAGCGTTAAGGTCTATGTGTCTATGAGTTTAAAAAAGAAAAAAAAAAAAAGTAGATAGGACTTTGAAAAGCCAGGCCTCTCAGGAAATATGAGCTTTCTGAGACCAATGTGGAATCTGCTAAAAAGAAACTGCTGGATCTGGATATTAAAAAATAATAATAAAAAAAAGGATAGAGAATAAGACAAAAAATACCTTATTCCCTCTATATCAAACCATAGTACGCCCACATCTTGAATACTGTGTACATATGTGGTTGCCATATCTCAAAAAATATATATACTGACATTGGAAAAGGTTCAGAAAAGGGCAACAAAAATGATTAGTGGTTTGGAACAGGTCCCATATGAAGAGAATTAAAGAGACTTGGACTTTTCAGCTTAGAAAAGAGGAGACTAATGGGGGATATGACAGAGGTCTATAAAATCATGACTGATGTGGAAAAAGTGAATAAGGAAAAGCTATTTACTTATTCCCACAATATAACAATAGGGGTCACCAAATGAAATTAATTGGCATCAGGTTTAAAACAAACAAAAGGAAATTTTTCATCACTCAGCACACAATCAACCTGTGGAACTCCTTGCTGGAGGAACCGGTGAAGGCTAGAACTTTAATAGGGTTCAAAAAAGAGCTAGATAGATTGATGGAGGTTAGCTCCATCAATAGCTATTACCCAGGATGGATAGAAATGGTGTCCCTATCCTCTGGAGGTGGGTGACGGGAGAGATCACGTGAGAATTACCTGTTGTGATCCCTCCCTCTGGGACATCTGGTATTGGCCACTGTCGGTAGACAGGATACTGGGCTAGATGGACCTTTGGTCTGATCCAGTATGGTCATTCTTATGCTCTTCTGATGCTACAATGGATTTATATTGTAAAGGGAATTTATATCGTAAGGGGCTACACGATTAACTGATAAGTGTCTCTTCAGTTAAAAGAGCCTGAGAGCTGACATGCAAGCATGCTGGCTCAGTTTAGACTCATGCTGGGTCCAGCACCTACCCTGCTGCAGGTGCTAGGCCTGGCGCAAGCCGGGATTGAGCTAGTGTGCTTGTGCGCCGGCTCTCAAACTCTTTAAATGCAGAGCTGCAGTGGGGGTAAGTGCCAGACCTGGCCTGTATCAGGACTGAGCTAGCGTGCTTGTGCGCTGGCTCCAAATGTGACAATGTGGAGGGGCATGAGATTGCATGTAGACGATAGCGTTAACTGATTAGTGAATGCTTATCAGTTATTTAACCAGCTACACGATTACATCCCTATTCTGCACTGTGAGGAAATGATTTTCAATTACATTTTCAGCGTGACAGTTGTTAAAAAGGCAAAGTACAAGAATCAACAAAATCAGTGGTGGAGCAGGAAGATGTTGGATGCTTTCATAAAGAGAGAATCGCATCTGGGGCATGCCAGTGAGGCAAAACTATTCTGTCAGCGGCTTAAGCAGAAAAAGAAAGCAGAAGCAAGACTCCTCTACATGACCTTGCAAGCAGGGGGGAGGAAGAGAAGGGGAGGAGACATATAACAGGAAAAGACCATTGAATAGAGAGGTAAAAGGTATTACTAAAGGCATGATGAATTGGATAAAAGAATAATTAACCATCAAATGCCAGTGAGGCAAAACTATTCTGTCAGCGGCTTAAGCAGAAAAAGAAAGCAGAAGCAAGACTCCTCTACATGACCTTGCAAGCAGGGGGGAGGAAGAGAAGGGGAGGAGACATATAACAGGAAAAGACCATTGAATAGAGAGGTAAAAGGTATTACTAAAGGCATGATGAATTGGATAAAAGAATAATTAACCATCAAAA